GACCCACCATCGGACACAGCTAGCCGAGCCTGTGCTGCTATCTCTGTCACTCTCAGTGCCATCGCCGTTCCCGCCTCCCCAAACATCAGCTCCTTGACCGCCCTCGTGATCTCCTCGCTCTTAACAAAACCTCCAATCGCTCCATCGCTGACATGGACCCTAACGCCGATCCGCAACTCATCGACGACAAACTTTGCGTTGATCAGCTGTTCAAACTCGCACGGCCATGCTACCAAAGGGACACCAGCGGCGACACTCTCCAGCACTGAGTTCCACCCGCAGTCACTACTACAGAAACGTTTTCTGCGGCGGGCGAATTTGCTTTTGCGCAGCGGGCAAACGCGTCCGCCAGCGTGGGAAGGTCACGGTAAATCATGGCCTTCCCGCGGCGGGCCGCTTTGCCCGCTGCGGTTAATCGATTTCCCGCGGCGGGCACATTAGGATGCCCGCCGCGGTTAAATGTTTCAAAAAAAACCCAGGAACCCGCCGGCGAGCCCATTCTCGAGCCCACCGACGAGCCCATTCACAACCCAATACTGGCGCCACCACACCTCGCTGGATCCGCCGCCGGGGTCTCCACCTTGCCGGATCTGCCGTCGGGGAGGTCATCCTCGCAGGATCTGCGCCATTGCCGTAGGTTGGGGCCGTCTCGCCGTGGATCCGTGTCGTCGCCGTGTGGATCCACGTCGTGGGAGCAGGGAGTAGACGCGGCCGCCCTGGATCCGCCGCCGTGTGGATCCACGTCGCAGGGAGTCGACGCGGCCGCCTGGATCCGCCGCCGTGTGGATCACCCGTCCCTGCACAGGCACGCTCCTCCTCGCCTCTGAGAGAGAGATGAGGAGGTACTTGAGAGGAGAGAGAGGTGGGAGAGAGATCTCTGGCGGAACACGGGCGCTCTCTCGCCAGATCCGGTCATGGTCCCCGACCGGTGGCGCCCATGACGGAGAGGGTGGTGGCGCGCGACCTTGCTCGCTCTTTGCGCCATGGAGTGGCCTTCACATCACGCCGGGCGTCTTGCGACGGAGAGGGTGGTGGCGCCCGACCTCGCTTGTCCTGCAAGGCCATGGAGAGGCCTTCACACGCCGACGAGGGAGAGAGAGAGGGAGTGGGAGAGAGAGGGAGTGGGAGAGGGAGAGAGAGAGAGAGGGAGTGGGAGAGGCCTTCACGCTGGCGACGGAGGGAGTGCGTGCGTCGCGGTGCTCGTCGCGGGTCGCGAGGTGGGAGCGGCGCCTGGGGATGAGAGGTAAGAGGACTGAAACCCTAAGTGCTCATTTTATACCAGTACCTGCTACGGGCCTCGCCCTGGGCCTATTGGGCCTCGGCCTTAACCGAGGCGGGCTTTATAAGATGCCTACCACGGTACATCGATTTACTGTGGCGGACCTTTTAATATGTCCGCCATGGAAAATAGGTATTTTCCGTGGCAGGCATATTAAGAGGTCCGCCACGGTAAATCGATTTACCGTGGCGGGCAAAAGTGCCCGCCTCAATAAACAAAAAATGTCCACCGTGGTAAATCGTGGGATCTACCGTAGCGAGCAAATATAGGAGCCCGTCGTGGAGAGCGTTACTGCAACGCTGCGCAAATTTGTTATTTTAGCAGTGAGTGGCTTAGAAATCCTCGAACGCATGGGTGCTGGAGGAGCTGCCGCTGATCCACCCATTCTCTCGCCACCTTGCCTCGTCCAACAACACGCTCCTCGTACCCCGAGCCAAGATCGGCATTGTCAGGCCGCACTGCCCACAGGAAGTTAACGCCGGCCCGGTCTAGCCATGACCACCTCTTTCAAAGCGCTTGTGAGATGGCCGGCCCGCGGCCCGACGCGGCAAGCGAATGGCCGCCTGGGCCCCCAACTAGGTAGGGCCCCACCCCAAGTATGCGAGATACGGTCATCTGGAAGGATCAAGGATGAACTGCGATCTCAACGTTGGTGGCCTATTAGTATTTGGATTTGGCCCATTACCGATCATATTAGTATTTGGATTTGGCCCGATGAGTCCAAGATCTTGATTCATCGAACGTTGGTGGCTGCGATCCTGAGCCTCTCGGCGTCCGCGAGAAGGATCAAGGATGAATCACCGAGAAAGAAAGAAAGAGCTAGCTTCCGTGAGAAGCCACACGCCCTACAGCAGACTCCTCCAGTAGCGGTGCGCGCTTGTGACGGCGCGAGAACGTGAGACGCCAGGGCGCGGTATTGCGCTTCATGACGGCGGCCGAGGCGAGAGCGACTCATGAGAGATGACTGGACTCGGCGCCACGTGGCCTTGACCGCGCTGCCGACTCTGCGATCTCCGCGACACCGCCCGACCCAAACGAGCGGCGACGAATCGCGGTGAGCCACACTGAGCCTGGCGAGTACTAGATGTCTAGATGAGTTACTTTTTTTAGCTAATTGTTTCTCTAAATCTTAACAACATCATGTCATTAAGAAAGTATGCTTCCGGCAGTGAGAAAAGGAAAAAGAAAGCACGAATAGATGAGTTCATACAATCACAGAGGGGTTCTATGCATAAATTTTTGAAGAATAATCCAAACACTTCAAGAGATCCAAACGAGTTGGCGATAGTTGTCTGGAAGGAACCAACACAGATTATTCTAGAAGATGAAGGTCCTCCTGATGACAATGTTGGCATTAACATGGAAGAAAACAATGTGAGTAATGATGAGCACATATTTAATTCAAATACTACAGAAAATAGTAGTCTTGATGAGGAACCGGTGTGTCACATGGATATTTATGATCCAAGAAATTGGGATAATCTTGATAACAAAGCAAGGGATATATTAGTTGAAAAGGGGCCTATAAGAGAAGATAATATTGTATTCCCTTTCGACGATAATTTAAGGCATTTTGCATATTCTCATTATCATAGAAAAATGAGTAATGGAGAGCTACGTGACAGGAAATGGCTAGTTTATTCCAAACACTTGGATAAAGTATTTTGCTTTTTGCATAAGCTTTTAATTCTAAAAAGTGCAAGAGTTCATTGGGGAATGATGGGTATAGAGACTGAAACATATCAATGAGAGGTGAAGGAACATGAAATTACTGTGAGCATATTACCAATATGAACTCATGGAATGAATTGAGAACTAGATTAGGCAAACAAGAGACAATTGATAAAGAGAGTCTGAGCGACAAATCTCCAAGGAGAAAGAGCGGATGAGGCAAGTCTTGATGAGAATAGTTGCCATTGTAAAATTCCTTGGTAGACGTAATTTGGCTTTTAGAGGATCTAACGAGCAGACTTTATAATGACCAAAATGGCAATTTCTTAGCTTGTGTTGAGATGGTCGCAGAGTTTGATTTGGTAATGCAAGACCATCTTAGACGTATTCAAAATAATGATCTTCATTATCATTATCTTAGCCACAAAATTCAGAATGAGTTGATTTCTCTTATGGCTTCTGACATTACAAATTCTATCATCAAGATTGTTAAAGAGGCCAAATATTTCTCGCTTATTCTTGATTGCACCCAGATGTTAGTCATCAAGAACAAATGACTTTGTTGGTTCGATGTGTTAACATGAGTGAAGGTAAAATTAAAATAGAGGAGTACTTTCTTGGTTTTCTAAAGGTAGATGACACATCTGGTTCTGGGCTCTTCAATGTTTTGGTTGATTCCATTAAGTCCTTTGGTCTTAACATTGATGACATTAGGGACAAGGTTATGATAATGGTTCTAATATGAAAGGAAAACACAAGGGAGTTCAAAGTCGATTATGTGATATAAATCCAAGAGCCTTGTATATGCCATGTGCTTGCCACAGTCTTAATCTTACTCTTTGTGATATGGCTAAGTCTTGTAGCAAAGCTGACTCCTTTTTTGGAATTGTGCAACGGATATATGTCTTATTTGCTGGTTCTACTAAAAGATGGAAATTTTTGCTTGATCATATTGATGGTTTAATCATGAAATCTTTGTGCAACACACGCGTTGGGAGAGTCAGATTAAAAGTGTTGCAAAGAATTAGATATCAAGCTCCTCACTAAGGCGCAGCTTTACTTGCATTGAGTGAAGATAGAGATGTAGAACCAAAGGATAGAAGTGATGCAAAGAATTTATTTGAAGTACTTGGCAGCTTTGAATTTATATTTGGCATGGTTATTTGGCATGATGTTTTATTTGTCATCAATAAAGTAAGCAAGAAGTTGCGATCACCATCTATGTGCATTGAGTCTACCATGCAATGCAGATACAAGGCATAATGGATTACTTTAAAACCTATAGAAATGATGGGTATGCTTTAGTAAGGTCAATGCAACGGAAATTGCATCTGAAATGGGTGTCGAGCCATCGTTCCCGATGAAAGCGACGTGCTCTTAGAAAGAAGCATTTTGATGAAAATAATAGTGAGGAAGCACTCTTGGAAGGTGAGAAGGAATTTAAAGTTAGTTACTTCATGGATAATTGATATGGCAGTCCGTTCATTGGAGACTAGATTTCAAGAATTGGAATCATTCAGAAATTATTTGGATTTTAATGAGTTCGTGGAAACTTGAAGGCATTGGATGGTCCTGAGCTACAGTTGTGTTGCACAACACTAGCAGTGATTTTCTCTCTAAATGGTTCATCTAACATTGATTTAAATGATCTGATCCACGAGTTGAGTGTTCTACAATTCACTTTGCCGATACACCCATGACAGCTATGGAGATTTTTGAGTTTGTTACAAAGGCTGATTGTTATCCTAATGCTTCCATTGCTTATCGGATCTTGTTTACTATGCCCGTGCCATCACCGAAAGAAGCTTCTCAAAACTAAAATTGTTGAAGAACTATTTGAGATCTACAATGTCTCAAGAGAGGTTAAATGGTTTGGCAACATTATGCATTGAGAAGCGATTGTTGGATGAGATCGATATTGATACCATCATCAATGACTTCGCATCGAGGAATGTTAGAAGGAATTTTTAAGGTAATTTAATATAGGAATTTTTAAGATAATTTAATATTTATGAATTGTTCCATATAAATATTGCTATTGCATCCACAGTTAAGTGTTTATATATATGTATTTACATTTAGTACTGTCAATGTCATGCATGTATAAAGGGCCCCGGATTGTGGTTTCGCCCCGGGCCTCAAAAAAATCAGGGCCGGCCCTGGAGATGGCTGCCAGTGTCCCCAGTGAGATGTACAGTACAGGCTTTCCGGCGGCCGCCATGCCGTCCAGCCACTGCATCCAGGACGGTTTGGCGTGGAGTTGTTCACTGCCGGTGCCGGAGAAGGAGGAGGAGGAGGATTGCCGGGCAAGCCATAGCGGGCCGATAGCCCAGACCTTAGGCCTGATGTGCTGGTTCCAATGCTCTATGTAGCGGCCCTCCAGGTCATGGAAGGTGTTGATGATGAGGCCGCGGCTCGCCGCGACGGCCGCCGCCATCTTAGCATCCAGGTCTATCATCGGGAGCGGCGGCGGCACGAGGTCGCGGAGGGAGAACTGGAGGTGAGGGAACTCCGGCACCGTATAGTACGTGGTGGCAGTGGCAGTGGTTGCGTCGTCGAACTGCGGCGAGGCAGGGGCTCCCGGCTTGTCCCGCACGCACGCCTCCCGGACGACGTGCGCGAACGCGGACGTGCCGAGGAACGATACGCTCGGGACGCCGAGCGCGGTGACCGACGCGTGCGCCCAGTACAGGAACCCATCGGCGACGAGGAGGCTCGCGGGCGGGCGCAGCGCCGCGAGCGCCTTCTCGAACCGCGGCCGCAGCGCCGACGTGGCCTCCGCGAACGCAGGCGGCCTCCCCGACCGTAGGCGCGTGCCCGCCGGCCGGGTACGCGAGCTCGAGGACGGCCGCGTCGTCGCCGGCCCCTGCCCCGCCTCGCCGCAGCGCGGCGCGGACGAAGGCGGCGTTGCCCGGGGTTGTGACGAAGGTGACGGCGGCGAGCCCCCGGTCGCGCAGGAGGCAGGCGAGGTCCAGCAGCGGCATCGTGTGGCCTTTCGCCATGAGCGGGAAGATGGCGACGTGAGGCCCATGGTGGGCTTGGCAAGACACAGGAGATGTAGCCATGGTCCGCCGTTGTTGCTTCTCTTGGCCTGCTTCTTGGGCTTAGGCTGGGTTGGGTGGTTTTGTGAGCGTCCCCGAGCTTGCTACTCCTAGTCCTAGACAGCAACAGATCATTCGCCTTGCAATATATTATTACTCCACGAGGTTCACAAGTGCACAGTAGTAGTAATTAATTACGGTAAATCTATCTGTCCTCGTCCCCCCCCCCCCCCGAGATTTTTTTTATTTCACCGTCGTTACCCTCCAACTATTGCGATCAGTTAGGTCGTTAGGTTGCGATCAGATCAGTACTCCTACCTAGCTAGTAGCTACTAGTGCTGGTACATGTCTGATCAGTACTCCTAATCCCAAAAAAAGAATCACTATGTAAATGATCAAACTTTTTTAACTTTAATTAGGTTTATAGATAATCCATGCAACATTTATATTTTCAAGTAAATTTATTACGAAAGTATATTCAACAATCTATCTAATAATAATAATTATATAATATAAATATTAATATTTTATTAAATATATTTAATTAAAGTTAAAAGTTGTTGATTTTTTGAGAAGTGAGAATAACTTTTTTTAAGGGACAAAAGGAGTACCACACCTACTAGTGTTGTTTATGTAGCGGCTGCGTGCTGACCCATCGCCGTCACATCACCTTGCCCACCTACGCATTTAGATTCATTCCTTTAGCAGGCGCAGATTACATATTATTGAATCATATTTTACTATTTTTATTACGTATAAGTTCTGTGTTCAGTTGGTGTAAATTGATTATTCGTAAATGGAAATAGTCAGAATTACTCGAATAGTTATCTACATTTTTTTCGCTTTTTTTGATTTTCTGTATGTTTTATTTGGTTACCTTTTGAAATTATTCAATTTAGCTTTGATAGAAATAATCTGGCTAATATTTTTGTTTTATTTGTTTAATTTTTTGTATTATATGGTTATTTTTTGTTCATTTAATCAGTACATAATGGTCATGCCAATCGAGTGTTTGTGGGATTAGAAACACTCGATTCTCTTTTTTTTTATCGCAATCGTGTGTCCGGCTCGCCTTCAACGCTCGAGTGTCAGCCCCCTCAGAAACACCCGACGGCAGACACTCCCCTCGTCCTCTCCATAACTAATCCTTTATAATCTATTCTTGATTATCGGCATTTGATCACTTAACCTGAAGAAAACTGTATGCGACGGTGCCGCATTTGAGTCTGGCGTGCGGCACCCTCCAATCACTGTTCATTCCCTGCATCCGAGATAGCTGTGCCTGCACGCCAGACGGAAATAGTCCACCTGCCCAGTAGGTGCCGCGCGCCATGCTTTTTCCCACCTAACATGATGCATCATTCAGCAGTTTTTCTTTTCCAAGCGAAGGACTTATCTTAAATCTTGAAATAATACATCCCAAATTACACATTAAAAAATCTGAAATAAAAAATACATAGTATTCTATCCAAATTCTTCCATCGTGTTCTTCCCTGATGGCTTTTCTTGAACACCGGAGCCAAAAGTGTAGTCCTTATGCCGAATTTAACGACCAACCCCAGAACATTGGACATGCCGCAAAATCCAACGCTTCGGAACCAGTCCAAAACACATGTAAACAGCTGAAAGAATATCAGCAGTTGCATCGTCGGTTACGACATAGGATACATATTCATCACCTCGAGACCTTGATTCTCCGCAACCATCGACGATGAGGTCAATAACCCGGAATCGCTGTTCTCGGCAGAAGCACCCCTCCCCTTGCAGATGAAGGCCATAAATTGGTCGCCTGCCGATGAAATCGATGCCTACAACGACGATCTCGTCGTGGCAATCACCGAAGTCATTGCAAGACACACGATCCTGACCACAAATCATCTGATTTCACTAGAAATTTATTTGGATTCAACCCTAAGACACTAGAAAACGGCAAAAAAAAAGGATGGATCCTCCCCCTTTTTATGTTTGGCAAACGTACCAGAGAGGAAGAAGGAGAGAGTCCTAGGCACGGCGACGGCAGCGGCAGAGCGAAGAGCAGGCTGGTGGCTGCGGCTCTTTTCGTGGCCTCATGTTTCCAGGCCGATTGATGAGCAGTTCAGATAGCCCGTGCCGGTGTGTGGTGGTGGTGGGGGGTGGGGTGGGGGGGGGGGGGTGAGCAGCCCAGGTTTGCCTCCACTGCCCTCCGCCACTGGCCCGTGCCAAAAGCTTGAAAGTGCATACCGCGGACCGCCCTGGCTCCTGGTAAATGCATCGCCGCCTTGCGCCAACATGACCCCGTGCACGGCACACTACCGCAGCACGGTGTCTGCCCTGCGCACATGCAAACACATAGACCGGGGCGCGAGCCCACGCACGCTGCGAAGGTAAGCAAACGCGCGATGCTCGCGCACACGCTGCAGCGGCCGGCAGTTGTCTGGATCCCCCGCACACCTGACCTGGTGTTGCTCGTGATGAAGTGATCCTTGTCGGCGACGTCGCGCACAAGCGCGAACGCACAGCAACACTGTCACTGGTTCGGCGATTCGCCGAACGCCTTGGGGGCGTCCTCGAGCCTGCCCTTTTCCTTGCTTACTTGGACGCCCTGGGCTGAAAGCCAGCAGAAAACCGGCCCTGCACCGGTTCCAGCCCACAATGCAGCCCAGCAAAAATTAGGCCTAGCTTCCTCTAGCAACGATCCAAAGACATCCTATAAATAAGGAACATATCTAGTGCAAACCAACCTCTCCGTACAAACCGTGTAAACCAACTGCGGGGGAGAGGTGGGAGGGATTGCAAAAGTGTAATTACGCTAATTACACTTTTGCAAATCCCCCTCCCACCTCCCCCCGCAGTTGGTTTGCACGGTTTGCACGGAGAGGTTGGTTTGCACTTGATACTTTGCCTATAAATAAAGCTATTAATCTGAAACCAGGTTTAGAGTCTGAACCTCTGACAGACTATACAGTTTTGAGGAAATCCGCGTGCTCCGCCGACAAGCGTCGACCATCTTCTCGTTGATCGCCGATACTTGAGGTGGATTTTGGGGTGCTTGGCCTCCTGGCTCGCTCTTTATACGGTTACAAAATTACAACCCTGATCTTGGTCGCAATCGAATTCGATAAAAAGAGCGGTAGATACCAATTGGATCAGCTGTCGGCACGCTGAAAAAGTGGGCTTCACTCCCTCCTCGTCGTATGAAGATTTAGGACCCCTTGGAACTAGGAATTTCGTATAAATTGTACAGAAATTTACAGGATCGGTTCATTTTCAAAGAAAAGACAGAAACAGAGAGGTGTCCTAGAGCACGTTCCAAAGGGGACTGGAGCATCTCCAAAAGTTTGGTTTTGGCAAAACAAGAAAAAATGGCCTCCAACAGTTTGCCAAAACAAATTGGCATCAATAGCAACTTGGCAAATTCTCCTCCAAGACGCAGCGTAAATATACGCTGGCAGACTCGGATTACCATCGCGATTTCTCGCGCCCACTGCCTTGCTCCCTCAGCTTGCGCTGGGCCATCGCTACCCTCTCCTCCCACCCACAGCAAAGCAGTGGTGCGCCCTCCTTCTCTAGTGCTTGCCGAAGCCGGTGTCGCCTCTCCTTCTCCATCTTGCTTGCATGCCGTGTGCGCCCTCCTTCTCCCTCCCAGCTGGAAGCCATGAAGCCATCGTCGTTGCTCTCATATCCTTCTCCCGCGTGAAGCCCCAATCATTGATGCCGGGAGGTGCTCGCTAGGGTTAGGTACGATCTCCCCTCTACCTTCCCTCTAATTCCCGTCGCCGATGTTCCAGTATGATGTCTGTTCATTTTGTTCAGTTATACTGCATGTTGAATTTGACTGAGCTCCTGTTCCTGTTGAATAGAGTTCCGTTATGAAAATTACCGATATGGGATAGATGGAATTTTCTATATTCTAAGAACCATTGAACTGGTTGTTGCCTAGATACAATGTTTTCAGATTAGCCAGCTTACCGATTCCCAGAGGTATGGACCCTAGAAGCCTATTAGCACAAATTCTTTGTACATGTAGGACTTGTAATTTACTCTTTGTACATGTAGGTAATCTGTCCACAAAACCAGAAAGCTAGATTCAATGTGTATTACAGTTATTACAGATATTACAGATTCATTGGTTAAGGACCTTGAGATAAGGAAAAAGAGAAGGCCACTCTGACCCAGTTATTATAGATTGTATTTTTCTTATTTGTATTTTTTCTTTTCTTTTTGTAGACTCATTGAAATGGAAGGAGATGGATTCTTGACAGACATTCTTCTAAATGGAGGTGATGGTGATGTTGCTGGTTTGGACGACCTCAACTTTCCGATCACACAAGACACTCAGAGTATTCATGACCTTCCTTCTGAAGTTCAAGAAGTTCATGTGGAAGTGCAGCCAAGTCGCAGTACAAAGGGATCGAAGAGGACAAAAAAATTCATTGCAAGGAAGACGAAGTTGTATGCTCAGGCTGGTTGAACGTTAGCAAAGATCCCATTAACGGGGCAAATCAATCTCGTTCCACGTTTTGGAGTAGAGTTCATGCTTTCTTTGAGAAACACAAGAAAACTGCAGCTTTGAGGACAGAGAGTTCCATTATGCATAGGTGACTGACAATTCAGTTTCAAGTGAACAAGTATTGTTCTTGCTATGAGGCGATTGAGCGTAGGAATCAAAGTGGAACAACTATCCAAGACAAGGTATACAATATGTGTTGAATCTTTTACTTAAATTTGATTTATTTGAAAATGATATATACATTGACAAATTCCCTGTATAGATTTCACAAGCATCCATGATGTACCAGGAATTAGACAAGGACAACAAGTCATTTACTCTTATACATTGTTGGAACATATTGAAGGATGAAGACAAGTGGAAAGCCAAGAGGATTGAACTTGCCGAGCTGGAGAAAGCTCTTAGGCGAGGAGGTGGCGAAGCTTGCATGGAGGCATTGGACAAGATGTGGGCAAAGAAGGAGGCTTTCGACAAGGAAAAAGAGAAGGCAAAACATGAGAGGTTCATGGCTTCACTTGAGCTAGAGAAGAAGCGAGTGTCAAATGAAGAAAAAAAACTGAAGCTGACTTGATTAAACAGGAAAAAGAAATAATGTCAATCGACATTACTTCCCTCAACCCGCTGCAGCGTCAATACTACGAGACGATGCAGCAGAAGATTGTCGCTAGGCATTTGACAAATTAAATTTAGTTCTTGTCATTTGAGTTGTGGAATTATTAAACTTTAGTTTGCTTGTTTTTTTATTCAGCAGAACCTTTTTTGATTCAGCAGAAGCATTATGGATCAGTATGTAATTCATTTGACAGTTAAATAAAATTACTATGTAGCTAGATAGCTAATAGTTCTTTGAGTTTAAGACTCCACTAGCACAATTATACAACTGCTTAGTATTGACTGTTCTGAACATGAACACATCTGACGCCAACGTTCATGTGTCAATGTGTGGCTTAAAGATGATAGCTATCCCACTGGTCTAAGTTTTAGATCCCACTAGCACAATTAAATAAAATTACTATGTAGCTAATATAAATCAGGATAATGGTTCCAAAGGTGTTCGATGAGGTCTTCTTTCAACTGCACATGTATTTCCTTGTCTCTGATCCTTTTGTGTGCATCAATAAATTCATCAAGTGTACGAGTAGCCTGGCCATGAGCAGGTTGCACATTTTCACCACCGTAATCGAAACGCTCGTCAGGGTCCACGAATCCTTCATCTTCAACAATCATGTTGTGCATGATCACACAAGCCCTCATGATCATTCCTATTGTCTCTGGTGCCAAATGCGAGCTGGTCCTCGAACAATGGCAAACCTAGATTGAAGAACCCCAAAAGCTCTCTCGACATCCTTCCTCGCTGCTTCTTGCGCTTTGGCAAAATATTGCCTCTTGTTCCCCATAGGAAGAGTGATGGACTTCACTAAAGTAGCCCATGAGGGGTATATACCATCTACAAGATAATAACCCATCGTATAATCATGCCCATTAACAGTATAGTTCACCTGTGAAGCTATACCTTCCGCCAAGTTTGCAAACAAAGGAGACCAGTGAAGGACATTGATGTCATTATGAGACCCAGGCATTCCAAAGAAGGCATGCCATATCCAAAGGTCGTTCGAAGCAACAACCTCCAAAATAATAGTGGGCTTGTCCACATGCCCCTTGTACTGACCTTGTTTTTCTACTGGACAGTTCTTCCACGCCCAATGCATACAATCGATTGACCCTAACATTTCAGGAAAGCCTCTTTGCTCACCGAGTGCCAGTAAGCGTGCTGTGTCAGTCTCATTGGGATATCTCAGGTATTCATCTTCAAAAATATCAACAACTGCAGCAATAAACCTACGTAGGCTCTCAAGTGCAGTACTTTCGCCAATGCGAACGTACTCATATGTAGCATCAGCTGGAACCCCATAAGTGAGCATACGAAATGCGGCAGTGACTTTTTGGAAGCAACTCAATCCAAGTACATTGGCCGCATTCCTTTTTTGCACAAAGTAATCATCGTGTGCTTCAACAGCATTCATTATGCGTAGGAATAGCTCCCTATGACATCATGTACCTGAAGCAAACAAACTAAAGTTTAACAACACGAATAATAATTAAACACATACTACTAACCATTCTGAAGTGAAAGAACAACAACCTTCGACGGAATATTTGAGGGCCGTATGTTGGATTAACCGCCAAATAATCTTGAAACATCCTATTGTGGCCGCCTTCCCTATCACGATAAATAACTCTATGGCCAATGATAGAGCCACCGTGACTCATTTTGGTATTGGAATAAGTATGCACAATCCGAGCAACTGAGAATATCACGTAGTCATCGTCATCTGATGATGAATCATCCAATTCTCTCTGTACAAGGGATCTCTTGAAAGGCATGATTCATGGCCGGCGGTTGATGGATCAAGAACGCTTTCAAGCTTCTGCAGGAGGCTGGAAAGATCTGCTGGCCGATTTGGAAGACGAAAATGAACGGCTGGGTGGAGGAGATGGCCGGCAGGGAGGAAGAGATGGCCAGCTGGGAGAACTTGTTGGCCGGCTGGGGAAGCTCGGCTGCAACATGCACGATGAAAAGACCGGCGGCGGCGTCCTTCGCGCGAAAAACAGGAAGGGTTTGCGTGCGGGGGGAAATATAGATTGTGGGGCTTCTTTTTTCAATTTGGCAAGTTAAAAATAGGAGACTCTTGGAGAGGGTTTTTTTTAGCTTGCCAAATCTTTTGGGAGTTGACAAATCACAAGATTTGCCAAGTTAAAAATATCAAACTCTTGGAGATGCTCTTAGAAGGAAAGAAATGCCGGCACTTTTGACTGAAAGGATAATCTGATGCAGTGATGTTGAACTACATTCAAACAAATTAAAGATGAGGCAAGAACCTGATGCCTTGCAGCTGCAGGCGCAAAATCCTTGGCGACTCTTCTTCCTAGCTCTTATTTCCTAGTTCGGACTCTGTACAGTTTTTCCTTGTTTTGGTTCTTGCCTGTTTGCAGCTCTCAGGCCGCGCTATTCGTGCTAGTTCTTGACTTCCTGAACATTTGTTAAACACAGAAATTTCACGTGCTCGCATGCGGATCCCGTTCATGTGTTAAGATGATCAGCACGACTATTTGCTTCGCCATTAATCGCAGCTCCGCACCAGAAAAGGTACCTCACAGCCTCACAGCGACCAGCTCCCCGCGGAGACGGCAGAGTCTCATGGCGCCTTCAGCTCCTGCGCCTGCCTCTACGTTATCTTGCGGTGGAGCCCATGACGCACAGGCTCAGCTAGTCAGCTCCCCCACATCGTCATCTTCTCGTTCATGGCCAAGAGCCACACCATCCCCCTCACGGACCTCACCCACGTGCTCCGACGCCGGCAGCTGACCACCGTCACCTTCCTCACCACCCCGGGCAACGCAGCGTTCGTCCGCGCCGCGCTGGCCGGCGCCGACGGCGTGGCCATCGTGGAGCTCCCCTTCACCGACAACCTGACCGACTCAGGCGCCCCACCGCGCGCGGAGTGCGTCGAGGCCCTCGACTCGCTGTCCTCCTTGCCGGCCTTCGTCGAGTCCGTCTCGCAGCTGCGGCCGCGGTTCGAGGAGGCGCTCACCGCCCTGCGGCCCCCTGCCAGCGCCGTCGTCGCCGACGCGTTTCTGTACTGGGCTCCCGCGGCCGCGGCCGCGCAGGACATCCCGGCGCTGGCGTTCTTCGGCACGAACGTGTTCGCGCACGTCGCCCGGGAGGTGGTCCTGGGCGACAACCCGGCCTCCGTGCTCACCCGCGCCACCACTCCGGACGACGCCGTGTTCACCGTGCCAGATCGAGTTCCCGCACGTCCAGCTCACCCTCGCCGACATCCCGGTCCCCTTCAACGACCCGACGAGGCGACGACGACGGGGCCGAGCCGCGAGATGGACGCCAAGGTCGGGTACGCCATAGCCAACAGCGACGGCCTGATCGTCAACGCCTTCGACGCCATGGAGGCCCGCTACATCCAGCACTGGAACCGGCACGTCGGGCCGAGGGCCTGGCCCGTCGGCCCGAGGGCCTGGCCCGTCGGCCCGCTCTGCCTCGCTCAGACGGCGCCCGAGGCGCCGTGGCACTGGCATGGCGACGTCGCCAAGCCTGCTTGGATGCGGTGGCTCGACGAGAAGGCCACTGCCGGCCGTGCCGTCCTCTACGTCGCGCTTGGCACGTTGGTGGCCGTACCGGGCTCTGAGCTGAGGGAGGTGGCGGACGGGCTGGACCGAGCAGGGTTGGACTTCATATGAGCCGTGAGACCCGTTGACGCCGACCTCGGAGCGGGCTTCGAGGAGCTAGTCTAGGACAGGGGCAAGGTGGTGCGCGAGTGGGTGGACCAGCGCGCGATCCTTGCGAACGAGTGCGTCAAGGGATTCCGCAGCCACGGCGGCTGGAACTCGGCGCTGGAGAGCATCAGCGCCGGCGTGCCGCTGGCGGTGTGGCCGATGGGTGCCGAGCAGCCGCTCAACGCAAAGCTGGTTGTCGACGAGCTGGGAGTTGGGATCAGGGTGCCAGCAAAAAGTGACGCGGTCAGCGGGATGGCCCGAAGCGAACAGATTGCCAGGGTGACTAGCGACCTGATGACCGGGGAGAAGGGCGCCGAGGCTGCCAGGAAAATGGCTGCGTTACAGTTCAAAGAAAAATGGCTGCGTTGGGCAGCGAAGGCGCGGGAGGCCGTGGCCGAGGCCGGGTCGTCGTGGAGAGCCGTGGATGAGCTCATCGGTGTGTTCAGCAAGCGGAGCACACAATCCTAGAAATCTACCGCTGCGCTTGGTACATTGGCGTTGTGACCCTTCGTAGAATCATTCGAGACTTCTTACCAATTACCGTCTTTTTTAATCTACGTCTGTGTCTGTCTGTAGTCCGATCCACGGTTCTGGGATTCGCCCCGAATGGGCCGAATTTCACCGAAATTCGCCCATTTCGGTTGGGCCCGAAATAAAAGCGAACCGGCCAAAAAAATTCGGCCTCATTTGAATTTTCAATACAGCCCATGGCCCAAATCAGCCCAGAGAACCCGACCTCTAGTATAAAAGCCTGAACACCTCTTGAAACCCTAAATTTTCACTTGTTCCTACTCTTTCTCCCTGGTGGCCGCCGGCAGCAATTCTGTAGAGGCGTGAGCAGATCTCGTCTTCAGCATCCAGTCCTCCCATGTTCCCCCACAGCCATCTCCAACCGTTCCCATCCATCTTCTTCGTGAGTCCCTTGTCCATGAAGCTCCCACTTGCTCACATGGACCACGGCCAGCAGCAAGTAGGACGGTGGCGACGGCGCTGGCGCCGGTGCCGGCGCAGCGACGCGACGCTGTGGTCACTTTGCGTGTGCCGGTGTCGTTGCTGCCCTCCCTGCCGCCTGTGCATTGCACGCCGCCACCGGATGCACCCTCTCCATGCCCACAACCTTGTGTTGACTGTTTGGAGAAATTTTGTTCAAATTTGCTCAAATTTCATTCAAATTTTCACTGGATACCGGTCCAAATTTTCTCAATTTCGTCTAATTCGGTGGTCACCGAATTTTTTTCAGAATTGAATCCCAAAACCTTGGTCCGATTATCGTGTATCTTTTCTTTCCGAAACATTCTGAAACTTTTTAATAAAATACACGTGAAGTTGTGTTTTAAAAAAAAGTCTGAAACACAGAGGGACGAAGACGTTCCACCTCCAACAAATTTACAAGATTTTATCCAATATATAATTGTTCAAAACATGGACAGGAAACAAAAAATTTATCATTATTAATAGGGATTTAACCCATTTATTGGTTGATCAGGCTCACTAGCAATAATATGGTCATTAATAGATGAGGCAAAAAAAATGCATCTCTTACTCGTGATGCATTTACTGCGGTTTTAAGCTCAGTTGCAACACACTAAGGACCAAAATACCAAATGGAGGCTATGGTCCAAACAGGAGTCTATTGGAGTAGAAAGCAAGGCACACTAAGCCTGGAAGCACACAAGTCCTGGCATGACTGTTCGGATCAAGCAACAGATTATGCCGTCGGATGTGCCGGTTCAATTCCGGCCCCATTCGAATCGATTCTGGGGAAGAAGCCACCGCCCAGGGGGCATTTTCTATTCGATCACGAGACGAGCCCCTGCTGCTCCGAGGCGAGACCTCACGCTGTCACGCAGCCCAATCAATGCCAGTCCATGTAACCAGTGGCGCTAACCCCGACCGGTTAACTAATTCGTTAACAGACAAAACAAGTGGAGCGCGTTCACGTGACCGCGCCTGCTGTTGCACGAGAGCGAGCGGGCACGTCGGCTCGGCGTGTGCAAAGCAGATGGACGGAGATGGATTGCTGCTGCTGACAGACTGACACGGTTTGTTTAGAGAGTGCAAGTACTGTAACGAATTAAAGAGGGAGGGCGTCAGGTCCGGAGGCAACGCATGCACTTGACGTTGTCAGCGTTGGATTCGTTCTTTGCCGACTACGGAGTAGCGCTGTGCCGCAATTACTCATCGTAGCACGTACGTCGCCCCCAGGACGCGTCGGCGTTGATGCTGCTGGGCGCAACAGCGGCATGAGATATGATTACTTGACTAGGCTTAGAAATCGGTTATGTGATGATGCGTACAGGGGCCTGATTCCACTGCAGCTCTGCTGCGCATGAGTTTCCAGCTGAGTAAACAAAAGGGATGTTGACTCCACTGCGCATCTGCTGTGCTTGCGGGGCAAACCAAAAAATCCGAATGAATAAACAAAACAGTGACAAAAGCTAATACGTTTTCAAAATGAAAAAATGCTGACGCCCACCGTGGGGCTCGAACCCACGACCACAAGATTAAGGGCATGTTTGGTTAGAAGCCTGGGAAACTTGTCCGGTAAAAAGTGATGTTTGGAAGTTGCCAGGAAAGTCGATGGTTTTTGCCTGGCGAGGCAATTCTGAAGAAAAGCTGTTTGGTTGGAGACATGTGCCTGAGAATGTTAATAAGAGGAGATATTCATAATATCAGTGTGTTAACTAATGTTTGTGATATATAATTAGCATATAGCTTTTGCAGTTTTACTAAAAAATATATTTGTATAAATATTTTAATTAGTTAAATAAATATAGAATTATTTATAAATCTAAAAATGTTATTTTAATTAGATTTATTTTAGATTATTAAGCTAATAAAATAGAAATAAATATGTATTCATATTAAATTAATCCATAATGGTACACCTTTGCCTTAATAAAATAGCTAATGTACTTTTGCCTTAATTATAAGTAGCTAATGCACGGTAGTTAAATAGCTAAAGCAATCAAATCAATCATTGGAGTAGTACTGATCCAGGCAAAGAAGCAGCAGGAGCCAGGTGACTGTTTTTCTACGCCTGGAGATGCCTAGGGCAGACAACCCACCAGGTCTATAACCAAACAAGGTGCAGTCAACTTATAGACAAGTTACAGGCGAGGCATTTTTCTCCCAGGTTCAATCCAAACGTGCCCTAAGAGCCTTGCGCTCCTCCGACTGGGCACAGGAGTACATAGCACCACCAAGAAACAGAGAATTATCAGGCATATCTACCAGGGCAGACTATGCTGAAAACTCAAGAACATGAAGCTGTTCCAATCACGTCGGCCACTTGGGATGTCAGCACACACATCCATCAACAACATACTGTAAAATGTACTAGAACATCAGTAACCCATTCGTCTCAGAGCTGTTCCAATCACATCGGCCACTAATGATATCAACGCAATCCATCTACAGCATACTGTAAAATGTAGTCGAGCATCAGTAACCAAAATCGCCTCAGAGATATCTGTTCATCGGTGAGCTGTTATTTTTGTAACTGAAATCCCTCAGTTCTAACACAAAGCCAAAACATTTCACTGATATGTACACAAAATAAACGTCCAAACAGTAACTCCATACTGTCACACTTTCATCTACTGCTACTATCAAACTCAAGCTCGCAAACAGACTTTATATCTATACTTTCGTGTGTGTATGTGTATCTGTGTCTATAGCAGCCTTCAGAAAGGAAGCAGCAAAATTCGTTCCCAGCTCTTCTAAAACACGAGCTGACAACACAAACAATCTCAAATGGCACACTGTAAAGATCTACACTACTATTTACTGTACTTACGGCAGGTTCCCGATATCCTGCGGCTATAGCACGCGAACGACACGCTCGCCGGCCTCCGACGCCGCCGCCGATGCCGGCTGCCCGTCCATCTCGTAATGGCGGTGGATCAGGTTGAGCAGCGCCCTGGCGCGCTTGCACGTCTGCGGGCTGCCGTCGGCCACCAGCGTGTACAGCGACGACATGAGCCCCGGCATCCTCCCCAGCAGGGCCACCACCTTGTCCCCGCCGTGCCGGCACAGCGAGACCAGCAGAGCCACGCAGTGGTCCTTCCCCGACCGGGACGCCGACGACGTGGCGAGCGCCTCGACGACGCGGGCGACCAGGCCCGGCCGCGCCAGCACGGCCTGCGCGCCCGCCGGCTGCTCCGCGAGCCTCGCCAGCAGCGTCACGGCGTCGCTGGCGAGGTCGTCGTCCCGGTCGACGACGGAGACGGGCAGGAGGAGCCCCGCGAGAGCCGCCACGGCGCCGGCCGCGACGGCCCTGCAGTGGTTGCTCGCGCACTGGAGGAGACCGTAGAGGCTGACCATCGCGTTCTTGCGCCCGCGGTGCGCGCCGTCGCGGATCAGCTGCACCAGCGTCGGGATGGCCTCCGGGATGCGCCCGATCTCCTCGGCGTGCTCGGCGTTCGACGACAGGTAGAACAGGACGGCCGCCGCGTTCTGCCGCGCCTCCGCCCTGGCGCCCACGTTGATCACGTCCACCACGAGGCCCACGCCGCCGGCCTCGAACAGCGCCGCCCGGCCCCGCGGGTTCTTCGACAGGTTCAGGAGGCACGCCACCGCATTGTCCTGCACGGACGCGTCCGTCGAGGACAGCAGGCACAGCAGCCACGGCACGGCGTTGGCCTCCACGAGGCACGCGCGGTAGAACACGCTGTGCTTGCACAGCTTGCGGGCCTCGCACGTCGCCTTCCTGCGCTCCGCCGTCGAACCCGTCGAGATCTGGGCGACGATGTAGGCGACGGCGAGACGGGCAGCGCCCGCGGCGGCCGGCCCGAATGCCACGGCTGTGTCGCCGAGCGCGCCGTGGCGGTGCCCCGAGCTGCTTCGGTCCGGAAGCGAGACGCCGTTGCTGAGCAGCATCCGCTCGATGATCCCGCGGAGAGCGGCGTTCGGCACCACGTCGGCGGTGCGGAGCCGCCCGCCGGTGACCGGGCACGTGCGGCATCCAGCCTTGATCCACCGGGTGATGGACTCGCGGTCGTACGTCTGGCCAGTAGACACGGTCACCGGGTCCTTCATCAGGTCCAGAGTGATCGGGCACTGCAACGTCTCCGGTCTGAGCCAATCCGGGCACCTCGCCGGCGGCCGTGACGCCGCGTCCGCTTTTGGGTTCGCGTCGATCTGATCGAACAGCACGACGCGGCAGTACACCATGAATGCCATTAAGCTGTTGATGAGCACCGCGTCGCTGCTGCTGCTGCTGTCGCCGCCTGCGCCGCCGTCCAATCGCGTGCGCAGCTCGTCCTCCAAGAAGGCAATCTCCTCGGAGCAGTCGGACCAGCTTCTAACCCCGATGTGCTCCAGCACCCGCCTCGCGTCCTCGGCGTCCGGCGAGACGCCGCTCTTGAACTGCTCCAGTATCGACCGCACGCTCCTCGCCGCGCGCTCGTCGCCGGCGTCCGGACGCACCGCCGCGCGCCACGCATGCTCCGACATCAGCCGCGCGAGCTCCCCGGCATCCACGGACGCATCCACTACGTCCTTGGGCAGCGCGTCCACGGCCGCAGCGACGGACCCGAGAATCACCCGGAGCTCAGACGCGGCCAATCCGGCGTTCACGAGCACCCACAGCCGCGCGCCCCGTCGCGCGCAGTCGGAGAGGAGGAACCGCAGCTTCTGCATGGCCACGTGCAGCTCCATGAGACCCAGCACCGCCGATGACGGCAGAGCTGCTGTCTTCGTCACCGTCACGTCTTGGATCTCCTCCAGGAAGGCGAGGAGGAGGCCTGCAATCCGCACTGCCTGCCGTAAGCCGCGCCGGAGAACAGGGAAGTCGCCGGCGTCGGGGCTGAGCCGCCCTTGGCTCGCCAAGTCGGCCGCAAGGGTGAGAAGCGAGCTGAACAGAGGCGCCGGCGCGATGCTCTCGCATGGGTAGACTGCCATGAGGGATAGAAGGCGGCGGCGCTTCGGCTCGCCCGTTGGCGGAGGCGGCGGCATTGTAACCGACTAAACCGAGGAATAAGGGGAGGGGGCACATAAAACGGTTAAGTGAAAAGAGAAGTTTGGAGGTAGCCGTAATTAGCAGCGCGAGTGCTGATATTTATAGAGGAGGCGGAACACGTGTTGCGAGGGAGGAGGCATAGGGTTGGGATCATGCCACGTGGATGTGCTGACACGTGTTAGGCGATGGTCGGGTGGTTTCTGCGATGGCGGCGGAAGTTGGTGGCATACAGGATAAGGACGGAACAGCACCAACCGCTCCTGCATAGGAAGTTTCGTATTTTACGTACTCCGTATCTAGATAGATAGACTAGACTAGAGTACTCCTAGATTCTATGTTAAGAACTTCAATGCATAATACTTGGTTCATCGAGCTTCGAAATTTCATGGAGATTTGATAAACAGTTGGTCCTTTTGTATACTCTGAACTTAAACTTTGATGAGGTAATCGGCTTCGAGTACCTCGTTAGGGAGGCTATGCCAAAATGTAAAATCACTTGTACTCCCTAGCGTGCCTTCATGACTTGTTGTGTAAAACAATCTCCTCAATACAAAGACATGCAAATCTTTTGCGTATTCAAGAAAAAAAAAACTTTGAGGTAATACATAAGAAATTTGCTAGCTTTAATGAAGAACATGGATCGCAGCGTACAGCAATAGGGAGTGTTCATACTTTTTTTTTGCCACATTTCAACTTAAGCATGTTTGATTAAGTTGGCAACTGTTTAGTTGACAGTTAAACTTAGACAAGATTTTTTTCCTCGTATCATATATAGGGTAAAAATGTGCGGCAAATTTCTTTTAAGCATGACAAACTATGACTCAAAAATTTCTGGTCAACTTTTTATAGCTTGTCACACTACCTAAAGTTAGTTGTGACAAATTGTACTCCCTCTGGTTCTCTAAAGCAAGTAATTTTAAGGTTGTCTTAAGTCAAACATTTTAAACTTTGACTACAATAAATTCTTTTGGGTTGAGTTTGAATATATAAAAGTAATGTAAGTAGATTTACCTCGAAATATAGTTTATAAAAGTATATATTTAACTATATTTTTGTAGTAAAAAAATAGCAATTAAACTCATTTATTAAAGATAATGTCAATGTCCATGTATAAAATGACTTGCTTTAGATAATCGAAGTGAGAGCTAGACCAAATGCTAGTAGAGTAATAGTTTGTACTCTTCTTGTTGATTCGAAACCCCACTTCCCTAGAGGTGCAAAGGGAGTGGAGTGATGACCTCTAGATTTGCCATCCTACCCTCTTAAGGCAGGACAGGGTGAAGCCGTCCCTTTTGGCCTGCAGGTACCTTGCAGTTCTAAATCTTTTATTATTAATTTATGTTTTTCACTATAATTAATAGTGTGGTTCTATACATTTATCCAATAAAATAAACTTAAAATTTCTTATCGTTAGACCTCCACTGACAGCTAATCATAGACCTTTCTTTCTTCAGCCTTATACCATCATAAGGAATTTCTTAATGTAGAAAAATATTGTCAATCCATCATAGGGAAATTCATGTGACACAAAAATAGAATCCAAGCCCGGTTGCATCCCTACTCACAAATCTTAAACATCAAAACTACTCCATTGTTTTGAAAATAAATGGACATCTTGCTTCTCGAGGAGTCAAAACTCTTTTAAACTAGACTAGTTATATAAAAAAATAATCAGGAAGGTTTGCTGAGCATCTTTTGCAGGTCTAGGAGTAGGATCGTCGATGACAGTGCTTAACGAGGACGACGGGCGCGGCCCTGTTCGCTTCACTCAAATTTAGTTTATGTTGATAGTTATACTGATTTATTCGGATAGAAAAATAATATTCGTCTGCTGTATGGCTGTGAACAGAGTGCCGTGGCGGCTATTGCTGGACATGGAAGTGCATGCTTTTGCATTCACCGTGTGCTTTTTACACGCTTTATTTACTTGCTTCACTGTCAAAGTGTCAATGCATGGCCAAGCAGAGTGCAACCAGAGTCGCGAGCTGCGAAATGTAGGCGGATGCCGGTTCTTCCCCCTTTCCTTCCCTCTCTACCCCATCGTTTCATCGAATCCTTCCATTAATCCTAACCCAAATCGTCACCTGTGTTGCTGATTTGCAGTTCCTCTAGTCCTGTAATCGCTGCCCTCTGAAGAAGCGACCACGGAGAGCAACCAAGTTCCGGTCCCCTCCCTCCTCTTCTCCGGCGACCTCGCCGGCGGCAAGAGGGAGGTGGGCCGGGCCCCCTGCAGTTTCTCACCTGTAAATTCCTTTTATCTTCTAGCTAGTTGCCCAGATGGATGTGTGTCGCTCCCTTCCTTTATCTGTTCTTGCCGTGTTGTTCATGTTCATGTTCACCGGTGAGTTCGAAAGCAAGGTGAGTTTCAATAAAATAAATACTACTAGTACTTTCTCTTCTTCCCCCGTGCAGATCCACCCCCATCCGCTTCCATCCACTACTTCCTGGATCAGCTCGAGTCCCTCTCCGGTTCGGTTGTTGTCGTCCCTCATCCTCTCGATGGCGTTCGATCGTCTGCCTCAGCTGCGGCCACTCGCCACCACCGCAATCCATCCTCTAGCTAGCAGCCTTGGACAAATCGACATCTGCTCTTCTTCGCCATCACCGTCGCCGGTGAAGCCAAGCTACATCGACGAGAGGAGCCGAAGGATGGTTCCGCGAGCGCCCCGGCGGTGGTCGGGCAGCGTCCGGCCGAGCGGTGCTGGACCACGCCCCTGCTTGCCTGGGTCGGGCCTTTGCCCGGCGGTCGCGGCTTTCTGCGATGGAGGTGGACGCGTCGCGCATATCCGCTTGGCTTCGGCTTCGGGCTTCAGGTCTCGGGTGTGGCCTATGCGGCTGTCCGTCCCCGGATGCCCGCGCTCGGAGGCGGTCGGAGGTGTGGTGCTTGCAGCGGTTGGCGGCACGAGGTGCTGGGCACACTCGGCGGCGCAGGGTGGGTGTGCGGCTCCGGCAGCGTCTCCCTCAGGCTCAACGACTACGGCCGACAACGACGGCGACGAAGCCGTTGATGCCCTCGTGTTCGCCGACGATGCGCTCGGTCTCTGCAGTGGGTCCCTCCTCCAGCGCTGTGGGTCCCACGGCTGCAATGTGGAGCGCATGCAAGCAACCTCCTGGGGACACGTATCTGGAGACCCGGCTATGTTCGTGGACTCCTCCCAGCCTCTCCTCTGTGGGGACCACCAATGCCATATGCAAGACTAAGCCCTTCTTCGTTCCAGCACGTAAAGTTTTGATGTGTCATATTGAATGGTATACGGAGGTGTGTGGATATTAATAAAAAAATAAATTATAGAATCAGTCAGTAAACCATAAAGTAAATCACAAGATGAATTTATTAAGCATAATTAATCCGTCATTAGCGCATGTGTTACTATAGCACTTATTGTCAAATTATGGACTAATTAGCCTTAAAAGATTCATCTCGCATATTAATCGTAAACTGTGTAATTAGTTATTTTTTAGAGTATATTTAATACTTCATGCATGTGTTCAAATATTTGATGTGATAGGTGTGGTAGAATCATCCGAAATAACATACTTATAGAGGCGCTTGTCTTTCACCAGACACTGAAGCACCTCGAAAGCAAGGTACAACGGTGATATTCGTCGGGCACACCCCAAGAGAGAGCCCAAAGATCCATATTTTTCCCCAAGGATTCAATAATGAGAACGAGTTACAATACTTAATCCATTTCATACATTCAGGGTTCTTAAAACTTACATTATTATATTTTTTAAAGTCAGAGTGTGGAATATTAAACAACGGAATAAAAATAAACATTTATCGATAAAGAATAATGATCCGTTTATGTCCACCAGAAGAATTCCTCACACAACGAGTGCTCCTCAAGTTAATCTGCAATAAGGGTAAATAAACCCTGAGTACACAATGTACTCGCGAGACTTATCTCACTAGTGGGAATAATTTTTTGACTCCAAGGGATATGCATAACTTTATGGTTTGCTGAGTTTCCTTTTTGTAGAAAGCAATACTAAAAATGAGTCCTTATTTATGTTATTATTAGGAGCCATGATTAATTTATTATCTAGCCATTCTATGTAACCACATATTCTACTTTCAAGCAAGAGTTGAGTAATCAGTTCTATTTCATCACCTTTTATTTTTCAGTTCTTACTACGGTGCTAGACCGTAGACAAGCCGTACCGAAACATCGGTGATCCGCGAATCAATGCCCCCAGCTGAGTACCTCGAAAACACAAGCCCCGCTTGTGCCTTAGGCACAAGAAAAACCAACCCATCACCCTCCTATCATGGGGTCCAGGTCCCCGTCCAATCTTGGACTCCAAGCCCCCGCTCCTGAGTCCTGAACTCAGTGCGGTGCAAGGACCTCTAACGTCCCCGCCTCCAATCAGTCGGTCCGGAAAGAGTCAGAACCCACGACAAGAGAGCAACAAGTCTTCCCTACACCCATACCCAAGTATGTGCTCGGGATAATAAATCTATGACTTGCCTAGAGCCTAATACAACGGCCGATCCTTAACCGACACAGACAGGGAAAAAGTGTAACCAAGCTATGCCCTATTGGCCGCAGGACACAACCTCTTACACCCACCAATACCCAAACCATATACCTGTCTGGTCACCATTTTTCTTTCCACCATTTTATCATGAGTGATCATAATTATCACCTATTGCGAGTAACGACAGGTTACTCACGCTACCGAAACCCTGAGCATGACAGCTACTCGACTTATACTAGTAGGGCTCATAGGTAAGTACATTTATGTATGTAGTTTTCATAAAATGCATGAAACATAAATGCACATCATATATATATTTAGTGATCATTAAAAATATGGGTTATGTACCGGGGCTTACCTTGGACAGGCGGTGGGTCAATAAAGTCAACACCAACAGGCTCCGAAGCTCCCTCCTGCACGAGGATCTTCTCCTCGTACTCCTCAATGACCTCTTCGTAGTCCTTTTCATCCACGGGCACGAACTCTACCAACTCATGATCTACATGCATGAAATGATGATGCAACACTTAATAATATGGCAACAACAACTCTTAAAATACGAATACATTTGTCAAGCTACTAAACTAGCTCTACCGACTAAGATGCTAATTTACCTACTATTACCACTAACAAGTATGAAGCGTGACATATATTATCTTAACAACTAAAGGTATTCTTACTCTTAATACCGATTTACTCTACATACGATAAAGCAAGGGGAGCTAGCTACCTTATTTATCAACATACTCTAGAGCTACAAAAATTACAGCAAGCACTTAAAAATCTAATGAGCCTACTGTAAAAAATTTCTAGCGAAAGTTATCACCAATTTACCACAAAAATTCCTACAACTATTGAGCTAAATAATACTAAGCTTTCTAATTTGAATTTATGCATCTATCATTATCATAGATAACTGTAAACTAACAATACCAGCAGATAGATAGCATTTTTGTGAACCTAACCATTTTTGTTCCACTATTTTTAGACATCTATAGAATTTACTATTATTTTGCAAAGTTCAACTCAAAACTAATTTGAATAAGCATTTATCAATTAATTGGAAAATGGAAAACCAAATTCCACCGCTCGGCCCAGAGCGCGAATGGCTCGGCCCAATCCGGCGCGAACGCGCGCACGCACGCGATGCACCCGCGCGACCCAACGCGGGCGCGGCCCATCCGTGCGACGACGGCCCGCGACGGGGACGCCCGCGCGCTTTGGCTATTTTGCGAAAACGGCCCTGACCTATTGACGAATCGCCCTGAGACCCACGGCACTATTCCTATAGTTAGCTACTTCGCAGATAAGCCCTCGGAACAATCTGTCTTCGCAACAGCGACACCCTCAGCACCCCACGCGCGTGCATCGGCGCGGCGACGCTGGCACAAGGTTGTTACGCCAGCCAGACCGGCCCCTCCCCACCCCCAAATGCGAGCCGATGCTCACCTAGGCGTAAACCTGAAGTGATGGGTGGCGATGCGGTGAACAGAGATGCTGTCCCGAGCTCCCTCCACGACGGCGAACTCCTCCCTACGACGGCGGCCACGTTCCCGTGAGCCAAGTCACAGACAACGTGAACGAGTTCAAGAATGGGCATCAGCGACTCACCCTAAACCTACTAGACGTGATGGCTTGACCGGAGACTGACCGAGCGAGTCTAGCCATGCGTGCACGGCAAGCCTCACGGCGGCGGCGGTGGCTCGACTACGTCGGCAGCGCTGAGCAGGCAGTAGCAGGGCAAAATGGGGTGCGCACGGGATAGAGTGGAACAGGGCAAAGATACAGTGACAACGAATTGGACGGAGGTAGACGGGGTAAGGTGAATTAGACGGGCGCTACCGCGGGGTCTTAAGATGGCCGACGGCGAAGGAATCATCAAATTGGGGCTCGACACCGGTGGCAGCAGCAGTGGGAGTGTTCGGCGCGTAGCTAGGTTCCTACTCAATCCTTTGGCGCACGTAATTGCACAGATTTGACCGGCGCTGCAAGCTGGCCTTGGCGTGGCCCGGCGACTCCGGCGCGACGCCATTAATGGCAGAGGTGACCGGGGTCACAGCGATGCTCTCCACTCAACGCAACGGACAAGGGCGCACATAGAAAAGACACACGTGGTCGTACGAGTTGGCACGACTCGGGCGGCCGCAGCGCATTAACCTGTAAGCCGACGGCGACACGGCCATGTGCCGTCGCAGCAGCTCAGGTGAATGCGACGCGAGCGGTGCAATGCACGTGGCGACTCAGCACTCGCGACCGAGACTAGCAGCAACACGTTGACGTGACGCAACGCAGCGTAGGCAACGACACAACGAAGCAGGCGGCAGCAACACGGTGACGGGACGATGGCACAGCGATGCAGGCGGTGAGAGCGCACGCGGGCGACCCAGCGCTCGCGACCGAGACTGGCAGCCACGCGAGGACACGGCGGGGCAGACAGCAGTAGACTGACCGGGCATAAGGCCCGCGACGACAGTGGCGGTGGCAGAGCGGCGAGACCTGCCGGCGCGACGTGCATGCATGCACGAGCGTGAGCGCGAGCCAGGGCGTGGCAACGGGTGATAGTGGCCCGTAGCGTGGAGCCAGCGGCAGGCCCGGCTAGCGCGGTGGCGTGCGTACGGCGTGCGTGCGCGTGCGCGGCAGGCGAACCAGCGCAACGCGTCGAGCCGATGCAATGGTGACCGCGTCAAAACGTAGAAACCGTGTCGTGCACGCTTTTTAAAGCGGTCCTAAAACCCAACTCGATGATCCAATTGCTAAACCAGTTTTTCTACACTCAAGAGGGTATGTTATACTACTGAAACAAGCCCTAATACCCTACCATTGCTTAACCCAAATTTCCTACAAAAATTATCGAACTTAGCTTCGTCAAACCATTTTCTGACTTAAGAAAATTGACTAAGTTTTTGGCTCGGATTCGCATCAACTTCGATTTCCAAGCTACCAACCATGCTAGCTAGGGAATTCATTTTTCGATCGCAAGTATTTCGTCGCCGCCTACGAAATTAGTACTACCAACTTTATTAAAGTGCCGCATATGCGTTCTATAGCATTTTCGTTCAATAAAAATTCATTTAGAACCCTAAGTGATATAACGCGACATGAAATATAACATTCGTTTCGCATTTTCGATGAACGTTTCGAGTTACTTATATTGCTTTACACCCTATATTACACATATTTACACATAAGTATGATGCTCATACAGTGTTTTAGTAAAAGACTGTACAGTGTAACACCGATGGTGTTACAATAGGAAGCAAAGTTTTGGGGTGGGAACTATTATTCTTTGCTGCGTCTTGGCGTTGGCCCATCCATGTGCCCAGCGATTGTCCTATGTTTTCCAGGTTCCTATCTTTCAGCCAGATGGAAACACGAAAGTGGAAAAGCTACTCCTGGTGTTCGGGTAGACCGCCGATTCTCGTCGATGCCGGTCCTCAGATTTAACATCAGGAGAAGTTGCGCCAGCCTCTTGAGTCCGGTGAAGCTCATACAAGAACTACGACTCAAGATCTTAAATCCTCACAGACACAGGCTGATCAGACAGTCGAGGAGAGCGCGTCGACTGTGCTATCGGAGTGCAACAAAGAAGATCCCCGATGCCTCTGTCGTGGCCATGTCTCAGTCATGGCCCGGCGCCCCCGATGGGGTCATCACCACCTGTGTTTTCTCCTGAAGAAAGATAGATCATCTTCGTCAAGAGTGACAAATATCCAAGAGGA